CGTCCCGGAGCGGAAAGGGGCTTCCTGCGCTGTGGCGAACGGCGTGCCCCTTTCTCTCATTTCCTCGTCCCCGGCGGGGGGGAGAGGCCCACGGAGAAGCGTTTTACTTGCCCACCATCACGGGGGGGAAGGGGAGGAAGGGGGGGAACTTGTCCATAGAAGTGTTCCTACCAAGAACAAGAGAGTTGAGCTGGGGTGGAGGAGTTCAGGACAATGTTTTCCTGTTCCCCAGACTTTCCTGTGACTGAAAAAAAGAAAGTACATTTAATAAGTTGAATGCCTTCCAATCAGACCCCTGGTGGGAAAAATGCCCTGAGCGGAGGAAGGCGGGTGGGGAAGCTCGTATCTCAGTGAGGGGTCTCAAGGCGCTCCTGTGGATTGAGGGGTGCGGCGGCTTGGGGGGGGTGATAGCGCCCCCCAGGGGCCACCAGGCACGTCCCTGGTCGCGTTTGCTTGAAACAAACGGAGCTGCCCCCTCCCTGTTCCGTGGCGATGTACTGATTGGGGGCCTGCTCTGCTCTGGGCTGGGGGTCCACCTCGGCACAGGAGCCGGCCTGACACCCTCGCCCTGGCTCTCGCCTTCGGTGTGGGCTGCATTCCCGAAATCCAAGCCTAAGGCGCTTCAGGGGGAATCCCAGGGCCCGGGCCAACATTTGGGAAGACCCCACTGGGTCCCCGTGTCCTGAGCCCCTAGTGACGCCACCCCCCCACCCCCCGCTGTGGAGTCGCACGCGGCGGCACGGACTTGCTAGGTACCCAAACATAAACATTGCGCCACCGGGTCGGGGTGCCCAGTCAGGAACATTGTGCGGTTTGGTTTCTTCCCTTCCCCTCCGGGGAGGGGGACTTCACGCCACCCTATGTCGTTGATCTGTGATTGTATCACAGCGGCCACTTCTGCATTTGCCTCGCTCAGCGTGTGTGTGCACATGCTCACACCGTCTGCCGAAGTTCTAGAAAGATTCTGGGCTGAATGCTTTTTTTTTTAATGGCCTTTTCTATCTTCAGAGGAATATTGGCCGAGGGCAGCAAAGAAGTCCTCAGAAAATGGCAACACCCACCCTGTATCTTAAAAAAAAAAAGGAAAAAGAAAATTGTTTTGTTTATACTACTTATTCAGCTGACGAGCCGAGCATAGTTTTTGCATTGAATCATAAAATGTTACAGCTCCCGACCTTTCACAGCATACCAGTTTGATCTGCCTCGTTTTTTCTTTACCAAGAGCATTCATTATAGCTCCCCCTACCTACGTTTTTTAGAAAAGAAAACTTTTGAAAATTAAAAAAAAATGCTCTGCACTGTGGGTTTCCCCTCTTTATCCCTTTCTGGAAACTATAGCTTGAACCCCATGTGGTCATTTTGCTGCTGGCTGATCCTACGCCAGTCTCTCGCCAGCTGGGCCTCTGAGTGCACATCTGTACAATGGGTTCACAACTGCCTGCTTTGTGGTTGGTTTGAGGCCCAGGTGGGAGCTGGAGGGTATAAGGAGCCCAGGCCCTACTGCACCCCTTTTCCTGGGGATTCACTAAACCTCTTCCCAGCAGAGCAAGCCTTACATTTCCATGCCTCTGTGTGTTTTGAGCTCCGGCACCAGAACCTGGAGAGAAGGTCCCCACAAGGCACCAGAAGGCGTGGTAGGGACAGGGGCTCAGCTCCGGGAAAGGTCCCCCCTTCAGACCAGCTAACACACAATGGTTTGGGCAGGGAGTCTGTGGCAAAGGTGTAGCCACCGAGTCCACGCATCGCAGATGCTGCTTCTTGCTGGAGGTGGAGGCAAAGAGGGGCCCCATATAGCTCCCCTGCGGTGACTGCAGAAGGAGCGCCAGCGGCTGGAGCTGTGGGCCACCAGGGAGGGTGAGTCAGTGGACACTGACTCTCCAATTGTAGATGTGCGTAGGAGTAAACCTGGGGGCAGTGTGGGGTCGGGGGAAGGGCTGGCCTGGACTCCCCACCTCAATGTGGGGCCTTGAGGAAGTCACTTCCCCACTGAGCCTCCACTCCAGGGGTCCTCAAACTACGGCCCGCGGGCCACATGCAAATACAAATATTGTATTTGTTCCCGTTTTGTTTTTCCACTTCAAAATAAGATATGTTCAGTGTGCATAGGAATTTGTTCATAGTTTTTTTTTAAACTATAGTCCGGCCCTCCAACGGTCTGAGGGACAGTGAACTGGCCCCCTGTTTAAAAAGTTGGAGGACCCCTGCTCCAGACACTCATTTCACAAGAATGCTAGAATACTTGGCACCACATTTCCCCCCTCGCTCCCTCCTGCTGCCTTGCTTGCTTAACGTTTATCTCCAGTTATCACACTGCTCAGGTCTGCTGCACCACCCCCGCCCTCACAACTGCCTGCTTTGTGGTTGGTTTGAGGCCCAGGTGGGAGCTGGTGGGTATAAGGAGCCCAGGCCCTACTGCACCCCTTTTCCTGGGGACTCACTAAACCTCTTCCCAGCAGAGCAAGCCTTACATTTCCATGCCTCTGTGTGTTTTGAGCTCCGGCACCAGAACCTGGAGAGAAGGTCCCCACAAGGCACCAGAAGGCGTGGTAGGGACAGGGGCTCAGCTCCGGGAAAGGTCCCCCCTTCAGACCAGCTAACACACAATGGTTTGGGCAGGGAGTCTGTGGCAAAGGTGTAGCCACCGAGTCCACGCATCGCAGATGCTGCTTCTTGCTGGAGGTGGAGGCAAAGAGGGGCCCCATATAGCTCCCCTGCGGTGACTGCAGAAGGAGCGCGAGCGGCTGGAGCTGTGGGCCACCAGGGAGGGTGAGTCAGTGGACACTGACTCTCCAATTGTAGATGTGCGTAGGAGTAAACCTGGGGGCAGTGTGGGGTCGGGGGAAGGGCTGGCCTGGACTCCCCACCTCAATGTGGGGCCTTGAGGAAGTCACTTCCCCACTGAGCCTCCACTCCAGGGGTCCTCAAACTACGGCCCGCGGGCCACATGCAAATACAAATATTGTATTTGTTCCCGTTTTGTTTTTCCACTTCAAAATAAGATATGTTCAGTGTGCATAGGAATTTGTTCATAGTTTTTTTTTAAACTATAGTCCGGCCCTCCAACGGTCTGAGGGACAGTGAACTGGCCCCCTGTTTAAAAAGTTGGAGGACCCCTGCTCCACTCCCTCTCTCCAGAGATGCGATAATAACGCGCATCTGGGGCTGTGGGAAGACCCAGTGTAGCTGGGCTTGGCATTACTAGACAGTTGTTGTCCGAATCCTGCCCTTCAGGTCACCTTTGGATCTGTCCTGGGGTCACGGGAGGAGGGAGGGTGGCACTCTCACAGGTGATGGGAAGTGGCCCCAGCTCACTGTCTGCTCTGCGACCTTGGGCAGGAGGCTTTGCAAATCTGAGCCTTGGTTTCCCCAAGGGGAACCTGGGAATACGACCCCATGCGAGGAAGGGCCTGGCCGGTGGGGTCAGGGGGGTGCTCTGGAGAGGGCGCTGGCCCCCACAGTCAGAATCCCCAGCTCTTTTACAGCCCCCCGCCCCCCGTGCTGTATGGTGGTGCCTCCCTCTGCTCAGCACCCTCCATGACTCCCCTTTTCCCACCCAGGCCGCAGCCCACCACCACTAGGCCTCGCCCCCCCAGCCAGCCCCACCCCCAACTATTGCCATCGACTCTGCTATTTGCTAGGCACACTCTGTGGGCCCGTGTCCCCAGTCTGCTGCTCATCCTTTCCCACCCACACCTTTGCTCACGCTGCTCCCTCTCTCCCCCGTCAGGGTGCTGTCCCAGCTGAGCTTGGTCAGGGTCTGTCCTCATCCTCCTGACCCCGCCAAAGCAGTCGTTGCCCGAAGCCTTTCCTGAGTCTCCAAGGTCTCTGCCCCCAGGCGGGCCCTGAGGACTTTGCCCCAACATTCCGATGCTGTCAGCTCTCTTAGGTCCTATCTTCCCCTCCCTGAGTTGCTTGAGGGCGGGGTGAGGTTTTCACCTCAGGGACCACCCCACCATCCGACCTTGGGTGCAGCCCTGGCACACGGTAGGCCCACACTTTGCCCACATGGTGGGGGGACTTTTTTCGAAGGGCACTGTTGGAAAGGATCAGAAGAGAAGAGGACTGAAATGACCATCTCTGCCTCCTCCCTGCACTGCAGGCATCATCTCCGGAACGAGTCACGATGGGATTACGAACAACCCCGGCGGGGGGGGGGGGGGGGGGGGGGGTGTCCTCATCCCCATTTCACAGGCAAGGAGTGGGGCTCAGGGAGGGTCGGTCACACAGCTGGGACTCGTCAGATGCAGGTCCAGACCCAGCCATCCTGCTGTCGCCGCCTCCGCCAGCCGGGCCCCCTGCACCCCAGGCTGCCTCTGACCCCCGGCCTGTCCGGAGCTCTGCTCGCTGGGCAGAGTGGCCCCTGGCATCAGCCTTGGAAGGAGCCTGAGCTTCCTGGGACCCCCCTCCGAGAGTCAGCAGGGCCAGCAGGCCCTAGTGTCCCCGCTGCCTCTCCGAAGTCGCTCAGAGCTGGCGATTTGGGAGAGCCACAGGCAGGGAGACTCGCAGCCACTGGCACCTCCTGAGGGGCTGGCAAGGGTGACTTCACCCTCCACACCCAGGCCGTTAGGCCCAAGCCCGCGGTGGTTGCACAATCCTTACAAACAGGTCTCCTCCGAGGGCCTGGATCATCTTGGCAGGCCCCTCATTTGAGACACAGGCCCAGAGAGGTTAGGCAACCTAGCCAAAGTCACACAGTGTTCAGAACGTTCGGCTTCCAGCCAGGGTTGTGGTGAGCTGTGTGTTTGAACCCTTCAGCGTTTATCTCTAGCGGGTGGGGTTACTTTCATTTTCCTCCTTATAACTGTATGGTTTAAATTTTTCAACACAAATGTGGGACGTTTGTAATCAGGAACAGAAGTTTGAAATGTGAACAGGCAACCACATTCGAGCTAAAACATTCTTAGATTTAGGGTAACTTAAGTTACAGCGGTAGACTGCGTGCGTTAGCATCCCAGCCCCAGCACTCGCCTGCGGTGTGTCCTCTGGCGAGTTACGTTCTCTCTCTGACACTCGGCCTCCTCACGTGTAAAATGAGGCTAATTACAGGCACATTTTTAACATTCCTCAAAGTGGAATATCATAGTTAATGGACAGCTTTTTTCTTTCTTACTGAGGGGGCCTTAGCATCGCTGACATCTTCAATCCAGTAGAATAGCGGAATGTAAAAAAGTTTTAAGATGGACAGGAATTAAAACTCTGCAGTCACTCAATTAACAGACATTCTGGCAGGGGACAGATTGGTGATAAACAGGCACATCCCAGGTGCTAAGGGCCAGGGCAGACATTGGGGAGGTCAGAGAAGGGCCCTCACTCAGCTGGGAGGCGGGTATGAGGGAGAGATGCCCAGAGGAGACGAAGTCTACCCGGAGACAAGGACTGATGGAGAAGAGAACTGTGTGTGTGAGGTACATTCGAGAAAGAGGCCTCTGTTATCAACCACTTCCCCTGGACGCCTTCAGTGTCCTCCCCTATCAAGTGGGACAGTAATAGCCTAAGAGACCAACTCTCAGGTTCGCTGTGGGGCACGAAGCCCAGCCGCCCGTGTGCCTGTCCCTGTGGCTGACCATCCCTGTCTGTCCCACCAGCCTGGGCACAGAGGCTTGGTTTCTGGCCTCTCTGGGTCCCCAGCACAAACCTCTGAGCAGGTTTGTTGGACAGACGCTGAGGAGCCCAGGAGAGGGACCAGGAAGTAGCAGGGCCTCCGTGACTCAGGCCTGTCCCTGAATCCAGGACACAGCCTGCCAACGGGCCTCAGCCCCGCCCCTGCTGCCCGGGGCACCGAATCCCGGAGGGAAGTGACAGCTTTCTTTTGATCATTTTGGTGTTTTTTTTAAGGCCAGAGTATAAATTGAGAAATAATTGCATTGTCATAATTAGGGAACACTAATCGGTGTTGGAGGGAACAAGTGAGGTCATAGTGTGTGTATTCCTGAAGGAAGGAGGAAACAGTATTTGCGGGGGGTGGGAGGCGGGTGTTGGGAATTGTGGTTGAAGACCCAGAAGCTGTGCAGCCCAATTTCGCTTTTGTGGGCACGTTGCTTGGGGGCAGATCTCACTACTAATAATTGAGCGCTGGCTATGAGCCTGGCACTTTGCCCCGCGCTTTACGGAAACAGTATTTGAGGGGAGGGGGCGTGTTGGGAATTGTGGTTGAAGACCCAGAAGCTGTGCAGCCCAATTTCGCTTTTGTGGGCACGTTGCTTGGGGGCAGATCTCACTACTAATAATTGAGCGCTGGCTATGAGCCTGGCACTTTGCCAAGCGCTTTACGGTCATGTCCTCTTGTGTGACCATGACAGTGATCCCCCATGTGAAGAGATGAGGTTAATGGAAGCCCAGAGAAGTTAACCAACTTGTCCAAAGGGGCAGTAATCGGCTCAGCTGGGTGCCCGCTGCTCCCGCCTCTGTTTTCTAAGTCCTTTGTGCTATCTCTCCACAGCACACAGTGGGTGTGGCATGAGGGTGGCACGTTGCCCCTTGAAATTATTTCTTGGGGTGCTGGCTTTTAGAGGGCTTTTTCTCCGTCCAAAAGGAAAGGGAAAAGGAAATATGCCCCTCACTCCGGCTCTCTGCCTGGCTCTCCCTGACTCACGGAGCTATACTGTGCGAGTGATTCATTCACTGGCTGGGGCCTCAAAGGCTTTGGCCACCCATTGAGAGTGAAGTCACACCTCCGGCTTTCTAATGCATTCATTGGCTCACTCATCCAACCTCCAGCAGGCCAGAAACAGGCCTGGCTGGGCTTGCTGGGGGAGGGGTGGGGGGTGTCAGGAACAGGAAGGCACACAGATGCCTCTGGCTGCCCCAAAGTCATGGCTGACTGCTCACTTCTGGCCGACGAAACCCTCTCCGGGGCAAAGTACCACCAGCCGAAGGTTTCAGCAGCAGAAATGTGCCGCCCGCCCGCAGGCTGCAGTCTGAGACGGAGGTGTCGCTAGGGCTGGTCCTGTGAGGACTGGGAGGGAGAGTCTGATGCAGGCCTCCCCGCTGGCTTTGGGGGCTTTGCTGGCTATCTCTGGGTTCCTTGCTTG